GTTCGTGTTTTCACAGCATGACAGGTCTTACTTTAGTGACTTACACAGACCAAAAAAGGCCTAAATTTTAGGACATCATCATACAAAAAGGCTGCTATTATTATATTTATACACCTTAGAATTCTACATGATTGCCCTCCTTTATTTCCTGCCTTGTACATTTAGTGAGTAGTGAGTATTCTGATACCTAATTCAAGCGTCACAAACATGATGGACTAATTCTCAATGACTCAATCATACCCATAATACAAAAGCATCAAATCAAACATCTTAAATGTGTCAACAACTCAACAGTACTCACTCAAAACAATGAACACATGGAGCAAACTCTAGATTTTCCAAAGCTAATAAGAATTGCAGCCTGGCATATAAGGATTGGGAAAGGATATACACATCTGGAGAGAAAAACATAGTGGACCATACCATATTGACATGTTCTTCACATTTGCCTTCGATTATCTGTGACCAAATCAAAGAATAACTTTTTTTAGTTGTTTCAAGTAGAATACACTATAATAGAAAAGAAAGAAATACTTCAAAGTGTTGTATGTACTGATGTACATATAGGTAACAATCACCAAATTGCATTTTTTCAAAATAATATTCGAGGACATGTTTACATGGAGAACCTTATACATGCATGCTTTTGGTTCACCAGAAAAAGATGCAAAGACAACAGGGCATGGTCTAACTTTTAGCTCCTACACATACAATATCAAAACAAATGGCCGTTTAGAAAATCATAACATGACAAAAACATGGCAATTAGTTTTTTTATGATAATAAGCAAGTCCTTCATTCTTGTTCCATTAGGTTAGCCAAAATGATTTGAAGAAAACAAAATATAAGGTCTCAATGAAATATACAATCATACGTTAGAGCTTGTACAGCCACTTGTGGGTAAATGAGAAAAGGAAAAAAGAGCAACCCGGTGCACAAAGCATCCCGCATTCCCGCAGAGCCTAGGGAAGGGTGGCACCTCAAGGGGTGTAATGTAGGCAATCTACTCTGATGCAAGCATCAATGGCGGATTTCATTTGAGGTTAGGCTCTTTATACAGATCTTGTATAACTTTCTCACCACAGCCTCAATTTTTGATGAAGCAAATGCCAATTTTCTCCCAATGTGAAAGTGCAGCACCAGCACAATAGGGCACAGTTACCACAACATATGGCCAGAATTAAATTAATGGATGGGAAGTGCATAATTGTATATTCAACATGGTTTCATTCATAACTGGCCACCATTCTCTGTATAATAATGGTCTGAGACAAATGATATTGGTTTATATAAGCTTAAGTGCAGTGAGACACAATTAGTGAGTATCCATATAACCAATCTCAACTTGATTGGGATTGCGGTATAGTTGTTGTAATAATCATTCTCTAATAATGACGTTTATTAGTTCTTGTACAAAATGATTGATGTGTCTTTCCTGAATATAAAAAAAATACTCAATAAAGAAAAACATACAGATTCCAGTATTACTATAAACAAGTATATAAATAAAAAAATCATTCACGTAATTAGACATCATAAGATAAACAACCTAATGTAACAATTGAAACAAGAATGAAGCCTCGACTAAAGAACACAACTAAGTTGAACACATTAGTTGCTAAATGGGGAAAAGGACTGTCTTATAATAGAGAATGGAGTTTCTATCTTCAATACGGACTAATTCAACTGATGAGAGAAACAAAGTTTTCATGTTAAATACAGTATAGAAGGGCTAGGGCAAATAACCAGTAGAGGACAAACACAAATAAGCATAAAAACAAATTTAAAATACACATACACATACAACATGAAAGAAAACATAAATTATAATTTGAAAAGCAAAACCATAAAATGATGAAGAAGACCTTACTTACTTAGTAGATTCATATAAAAAAAACTAGAAGAAATCGATCGTATATTCATGTGCTTCACCTACAGGCTCCTTAACATCAGCTGCTTCACCGATGGTATCCCGTGGAGGCCTTGGAGCTCTGAATTTCTTGTAGAAATAACCTCCTCTCCCAATCCGCCTCTCCGATGACTTCATGATTTCATCCTTCACCGTACTTCATTCCTCCCCTAACCCTCGCTATATACGCCACCGTGCACACCTCCGTCAAACCGCAGCATTGGTGAGAGAATTTGGGAATTTTTTTAGGTCACGGTAGAGTCTGCGGAAATTATAGAGAATGAGAGAGAGATGGATAGAGTGATGTTCTAACTGGGCATGGCCAAAAATAAGGGAAAATTACGCGGTTAAACAAACTTATACTACTTAATTACTCATCATAGTTATAGTTTGCTATAATTATTATTCATGACTAATATTATACATTAATTACACGGGCTGACTTCGAGTTTGTATAATTAATCATGTTTGTATACGTATAATTCGTCAGAATATACAAATACATATGTATAATATACAATTATCTAACCTATATACATATACAATTCATCTCTCTCCTACTCTCTGCCCTCTCTCGCTCGCCTCTCTCCTCTCCCTCCCAATCTCGCTCGCCTCTCTCCTCCCTCTCCCAATCTCGCTTGCTATATATACAATTGCATATGTATAATATACAATTATCTAACATATATACATATACAATGCACCTCTCTCCCCCTCTCTACCCTCTCTCTCGCCTCTCTCCTCCCTCTCCCAATCTCGCTCGCCTCTCTCCTCCCTCTCCCAATCTCGCTTGCCTCTCTCCTCCCTCTCCCAATCTCTCTTGCCATATATACAAATATATATGTATAATATACAATTATCTAACCTATATACATATACAATTCACCTTTTTCCACTCTTTGCCCCCTCTCTCTCGCCTCTCTCCTCCATATAACATGTAGCTACGAATTGTAATGATCAAACTATAGCTATGGAGAGTAATTAGACTATTTTTGAATATTATATGTGAAAGTTCCCCTAAAAATAATGAGGGAAAACTGGATGTCGCTGGTGCCTTTTTTTTTTTTTTTATGGGATAAATCTATTGAAAAGTTCGGGCTGTTATGTTAGCTCTCACATTTAAATCTTCACAAATTCAGCATTTCTTTTAGTACAATTTCGTGCTTTGTTGAGGGACATATGACATTAAGATTAAATTTAATAATTAAGATTTGATTAATTAAAAAAACATAATTTAGAAAATAAATACATTTATATTTGATTTAAAAAATTATTATCATCTTATAATCTTAATACATATTATTTTATTCATAAATAAAGTAAAAGAAATATCTCTCTGTCTACTTTCTTTCCCTACACAATATTTATCATCCAATTATTTTTTACATAGCCAAGGAATTGAGACCAGACCACCATATTCCTCTAAACAAGTCACACATAAATGTTTAGCACAGTCACACGCATGCATTGTACATTAAAAAGAGAAAAAAGGGTAAACTAATAAAAACTATTTATTTATAATTTTTTTAAGAACTTATAACAAAAATATGACAATTAATACGAGATAAATAGAGTATAAATTAAAATTTTCTTTCAAAGTACTAGCCAATCTAACTCTAAACAGACCTGCTAAGGTATTATCCAAGGCTTGATTTGGTTGACAAATATAGAGTATAAATATTTCCTCCATTTTTATTTATAGTCATTTTCATTAAAAATAGATGGGGCTTAATATTTGTCATTTCATAAAAGCAATACGTACATTATTCTTCATATTTTATCCTTAAAAATTATTAGTCTTGAAAATATAAATTTGACTGACATAGGAAAACTAAATGATTAATTCATAGTCATTGATCAATTTAATTAATCAAAATAAATTAATATTTTTATTTATTAAAAACTTAATAAGGTTAACATTTCAGAATAATTTAAACTTTTGATCTCTTCGTCATTTAAAAAATCTAAGAATAAATCATTGATATAAAAAAGTATAATAATAAACTTACATAGTCTCTTAAAAGAGGTGAAATCTAAACTAGTGACATATAAATAAGACTGGAGGGAGTATACGGCACGGCTAAGATCAGACGGCCAAGTCCGCAATGCAAATTATAAATTTGGCAGTATGACCGGGTTCTTTTAACTTTATTATCTAATTTATTTATTTCTACCCTGTTTTGATTTCATGAAATACTGAGTAAAATATATGTTTATGTTAATTATATATATGATCTCATATTGCATACTTGGAACTGTATGTATGATTAGGATTACACGTGTTTAAAGGTTAATTTTTATTATTTCTTTGAAATATGTACTACAAGATTGGATAGTGTATGTTAATTAAGTACTTAATTATATATGAAATCAGTTTGTTAGTAAACAATTGGATAGTTATATACTATAAGATTGTGTCGAAATGTTTGTGTTATAAAGGATCAGTTGAAAATCAATTAGAAAAAGTGTAGTGGGGATTTTCAGTTTATACTTTTCCATGATCATATTATATTCTCTAATAGTGTGTAGAAAATACATTTGAATATTAATTAGGTGCTAGAACTAAAAATCATATATGGTTAGGTTAAAAGATTGTTCTTAACTTCTTAACATCTATCATATCATCTTAAATTTCTACCTCTTTATTTTTTTTTGGATGTGCTTTACATTATTAAGTTCTTAAGCTCACAATTAATTCTAAAATCATTGTTAATAGCTTTAATGAAAATAAAAAAGGCATTAAAATTATTCTACATAGACTCATGATGGAACTTCATGTCATTCAAATTCTCAAAAAATAAATTTGTTATAGATAATTTCTATTTTAAAGAAAGTTAAAGATAATTTCTATTTTGTGAAAGTTGATTTAAAACTATATTACACTACTATTAAGTGGAGTAAAAGAAATCTTATTTTAAAAGAAGGTTCTAGATGATGCCATGTCACGTGCACGGAAATAAATCATCTGAGATTCATCTTCATTCCCATAACCGCTCTCAACCGCTGAAGCCAAAGTGTTCTTCGTTAAAAAGCATTTTCCATTTCGATTTTTTTCTTCCGCTTCACGCACAAAAGCATGACTATCTTTTCCGTTCCTTTAAATACTCGCTCGAATAATCAGTACTGCTCAAAAATCCCGCTTCCCAAAACTCCCAAAATTGTGATCAGAGAAATTCCATTTCCAAAACTCCCAAAGTTCTTCAACTGGCTATGGAAGAAACTGAAAATGTGGAAGATACTGAAGTATCAGAAACTGCTACTCAATGCCGGTCGACTCTGTCTCTAAACTCAGAGATCGAAGATGCTGAAGCAGAAACTAATAAACGCAAGCCGACGCAAGTGATCGGAGAAACTACTAAACGCAGGCGGACGCCGTTGAATCCGGGGTTCGGCGAAGATGCGGAAGCATCAGAGACTTCTAAACTTTTGTCAAAGCCAGTGGATGGAGATGCTTCTAAGCCAGTGGATAGAGATGCCTACGGCAAGATACCACTGGCATTTGCCTCTCCGGAAATATACCAAGCTGTGGCAGAATCTGCACCGCCAGATGTTCGAGCAAAATCCGAAAAAGAAATGGCCGCTTATGTGAATGAAATAATCATGCGATATGCTCCTAGTCAGAAAGAGGTATACTCATTTTCTATATACTCCTTAGATATTTGTTTTTTGAAATAGAATAGCTGTACAGGGAGGAGGTTCAGTAATATTATGATTAGGTCTTATTCAATTTTGCCATATGTTTAACGATTCAGATGGAACTGCGAGAATACAGGGACAAAATCATATCAGAATATCCGGTATTGTTACCCTCTATCGTTTCACATTGTTATTCTCTCTCTCTCTCTCTCTCTCTCTATTTATATATATATATACGTACTAATACAAATATTCGTTTATCCTTCAGCGGTTACACGAGAAATTATATGCTATTCATCCCACAGAAATTTTTGTCCCTTCCTTTATCAAGGCAATCAATGAGAAAACAGAGGATAGTATCAAGAATATCATTTCTAAGCCCTTTCCGGGTATTTTAACCTTCGAAATCTTTTAACCAGAGTATTGTGAGATGTTGGTGGCTGAGGTATCTGATGCCTTGTTGTTCTGTTGTTGCTTGACAATTCTTTTTGTTTTGTTTTATTGCTGATCAAATAGTATTCAATTTTTAGGTAAACCATTTTCAAACCTGGATCCACAAAGCAGACATCCGAACTGAGCATCGGAACAATATGAACAACATGACATATCTTGATGATTTAGGAATGGGATGTATGCTTCAAAATCTCATGGACAGTTTTATAAGTCCAATTTCCAAAGGTAATAACTAATCTATCCATCTATCTCAAAAGATGTATAAGAGATTAATCACCTCACATTTACAAAGTAATGCTCTCAGACACTTATCGAGGTATTATGCAGTTTTTTTCACTCAGGTTGGGGGATCTACCCTTGATGAACATGAGTGCGTTGTTGAGTGTCATACCGATGGCGAAAATGAATTAGGTGAATAGTCTATTTTGTTGTCACATAGATTATAGGCAACAATTTTTCTGCACTCTTAACATTTTCATTTTTCAGCTGTTCAAGTTGATGACGCGGAACTTACCTTAAATGTGTGCTTGGGTCAGCGATTCTCTGGGGGAGAATTGTGCTTCCAGGGTGTATATTGTGAGAAACATGTGGACACTCCGACACGACCTGAGGTAATTATAAAGTGTACTCCAAATAATTGGTTTATACAATAGTGCTTAATCATGCATGGGAGTAAGTAATGGTGCTTCACAAGATGATCCCAAGAAAGCTTACTGTAAAGATTGCTACCAAAGAAGAGTGATAGCACCAAGTACTATGAGATCTTGGGAGTTCCTAACAGTGCTTCACAAGATGATCTCAAGAAAGCTTACCCTAAACCCGCCATTAAAAATAATCCTGATAAGGGTGGTGATCCTGTAAAAGTAAATTTTACTTGCTTTTTATTTATGGATTTGTTAATTTTGTGACCCCTTTTGGGAGATTGTTGTTTATCTTTGTATAGTGATCAATCTTTTTGTAATTTTTTCTATTTACCTAATATCTCTGGGTTTTGTTTTAGATCTGTTTAATTCTATTGGAAGAAGTTGAGGGGGAAGGTTGATACTGTTGATGAAGTTTGAATGGTTTGTGGGATACTAGTCACTAGATACTAGGTATGTTTTTACTGGAGTCGAGCTAACTGCATAGGCAGAGGGGAACTTTCCTAAAAAGAACGGATCAAGGTAGCTTACCTGCCAAGCCGATGGGCGAAGGGCTGAAGGCTTAGTTTCCCCCAAGCTTCATCATTGTCAACTCTGAGTTTGACGGGTTTTGTTTTAGAGCTTAGGAAACTAATCTGTTTTTGTTTTAGAGTTTCAGAAACTAATTCTAATGGGAAGAAGTAAAAGGGGAAGATTAATACTGTTAGTGAAGCTGGAATGGTTTGTGTTAAGAAAAAACTATCTTTAGCTAAGACCCCTCTTTCTTATTAGTTGTTATGTTTTCTTTAGTATGTATATTAGTTAATGTTTAAGTTGAAAAGGAGTTTAAGTCGAAAAAGGGTATTGGAAGTTGCAAATAATATTTGTAGGAATTTTAGTATCAACATGATGAGAAAATGTAATATCGGTTTCTCAATGATTATTTTCAACAGGAGGCTTTTGAATATTCACACATTGTGGGGCAGGCAATTCTCTATCAGGGTCGCAATAGGCATGTTTCTAGGGTGACTACAGCTGGGAAAAGATTCAATTTGGTGTTAGGCTGCAAAAGGTACAAATATATTTGACTTATGTTCTAGTTCTTTACTGCATCATTACCTAGCTAATTACTGTTATAATCATTTTGCAGCACTGCTTTTAGGGGAATGTGTAAGCTTATGAGTGATTTTAGTTGGTGTTCCAAATGTAAGCAGGAGAAGGAAAGGAGAATTAGGGAAACTGTGTCTACATTCATGGCGGGGGTAAGGTGTTTTGTATTGAATTGTTTGTTTTTGTGATAATTGGTAGTAAATAATAGGAGCAGTAATCTTTAGATAATGTTCTTGATCCAATCTATTAGTGTGTATGTATCAGGGAAATACCTAATATAACTATTCTATAATGGTCAAAATGTACCCTAAATCATTTTTCTTTTTCGTTTTCAGGTTAGGCTGAAATGAGGGTGGTACGGTTATTGTGCTAGTTGAGTCTGTCATACAAACAAACACTTGGGTCTTTTCCGTTTTCAGGTGCTGCTGGGATGAGTGTGGTTTGGTTGCTGTGCTGAAGTCGAGTCTGTCATACAAACGAACACTCTTTTTTTAATCATACAAACTCTGCTATCATTGTGAACTTGTAATGTCTATCTGTTATCACAGAACAGATTAAAACTTTGTTTCAATGTTGTTGCTTGTTTTCTTAAATACTACCTAGAGTGATGATGATAGTACATTGTATTTTCATTTTTTTTCACCCTCAAAAACTGATTTTCAAAACGCAGGTAACATTGGATAAACAATCTATAACTTGTTTAATAAGTTTGTCAGTAATGACTGGCTGTGAGCCTGTGACGATTGCTTTCCCTAAAGCTCTGTTTCTCTTGTATAGAACCGTAATATCTATCCGCAAGTATTGCAATATACATGTTCAAAGATTTTAACTGTCAGAATTTGGACACCCCTTATGCCTTATCTTTCTTTTTAATTTGTAAATGACGTAATTGGGAAACAGTATAAGGAATTCTCTTTTTGATTTCTTTATTGTGTTCAAACTGAGGCAGAAAACATTCTTTGTTACTTAATTTTTTTGGTTTATTTTCTTTGTTTTATGTTTTATATTTGTACTTGTAAATTTATTTAAATAAATTAGCTTATAAAATTTAGGGTTATTTAGGGAGAGTTATTTTATCTCCCTTTGTTTTGCAATACTGAGGTCTTCGTTATTTTCTGCTTCACAAATACGTGAGTTAAATACATTTCAACTATTAAAGTTTCAGCTATATATGGCGATTTTTATGCTTTTGATGTTTTTAGGTTATTAGCTACTCATGTCGGCTACCGGTCTGATTAATGTGCTTTCTTTGATGCTAGTACTGTATAACATACTTTTCATCTCTATTCATTTTATTGTTCATGTGTTTAGACTCATGTTAGTGCAGTAACTATTATGCATGCAACATAGTTTGTGAATTGTATTTATAAAGGCACCAACTTGGGTTACACTTGTTTCATTCTAATCTATTTTTGGGGATGTGAAGTGAAACCACCATTTTCTTCATGTCTACTTATAACCTATATGTAATCTATCACCATCTTGCAAATCAAGCTTCTGATTAAGCTAAGAGTTAAACTGCCTGAATGAGGACTCCTACAAAGGGTGCTTATGTTAGAATTTTATGTATCCACCGCACATTATTGTCACGGGCTCTAGCCATCTAGTACTACGTACATGTCTTTTCAACAAATTCGGCAAAAACCTTTAACTAGTTCCTCTGTATTTCCTCAAAGTTTCCAGACTCAATATTTGAGTATTAAATACCGTAGTTTGTAAGTGAATATAGTAGTTGTTCTAATATCTATTAGAAAATTGATTAATTAAATTTTTTAATACTCAGAAATTATAGTTTTTTTAATACTGTTATTTTTTATTTGAATGTTGTTATTTTGAATTGTATATTGAACTATCTATCTAAATGTTATAATTTTCTCTTTGTAGTGATAGTTTGAATACTTCATTCTCAACCGATATTATAATTTTGAATTGAATATATTTTTTTAAAAAAGCTGAATATTGTAGTTTTGAATAATTATTTAAATCCTTTTAGAGTAAGTGGAGTATTGGTGGCATATACTCCCCTCCCTTCCGTCCCTTTTTAGTTGTTAAGTCATGGTACAAGATGTAAAAAATACATCGTAAAATGTTAGATCATGGTACAAGATATAAAAAATACATCGTTTGACTCTACGTCAAAAAGAAACCATGACAATTAAAAAGGAACAAAAAGAGCATAAGTTGTTGATTAATGATAAATTTTAGAAATAGATTTTCTATTTTCAATTACTACTCATGGAGTCATGGTACAAGATATAAATTTTTGTACGTCGACATGGTTGTTTGCAACAAATTTTCAAGTGACAGAAAATAAATTACAATCACAAATAAAATATGAAAAAACATAATTTTATTCATCAAGATTGCGGGTACAATTCTGTTCTTCTCGAACTCATATGATTTAGATTTGACCCGATCTATATAAATATTCCATGACTTTTTTGGAATATTCGAGATTCCTTTTAAGGAAATTTAGTACTTGGGGCTTCTTGCTACGCTACAACACTGTAGAAATCCATTTTTCTTAGTAATATATATGAATAGAAAGAATTAAAACTGAACACACCTTCTAGAGTCACAATTCGAATTGAACACGTCTTGTAGAGTCCCATAAAATTTCAATGTCTACCACGGTTATATATATTTTTTTTCTTCCTTTTTTTGGAACAATAAAAAGCGTTGTTGTATATAAGGTAAGTAGTTGCTTAGTTGGTGTCAAAGTATGAGTTAGAGAAACACTAAAAGAGGTAAACTTTTGAATTCTACCCTTATATATATATATATATAGGGAATAACATAGAACAAATAGAACATGGATGAGAATATGGGGAACGGGAGTCGGAACGACGGTTCATCGGTGGAGTCAACTCTGCGAGTCGAGCCATGTTTAGAACACAAGGCGGATAACTATGGGGATTTAGAAGAAGAATTGGAATTCGATCCTCTTTTATATAGTTCTCTTGAGCGTTATCTTCCAGATAACCTCCTTAATTCATCACGACTCGTTAAAGCTCAATACATGAATGAAATTCTCCTTGGTTACTCTCCTCCATCTGAGCGCCATCATGTAAGTAATTATAATTATTATTATAACTAGACTTTTACGTTTTACCCATCTATAGCATAATTAACCTTTTACCTGTTATTTTTAAGTCCCGACTTTACTTAGCTTTAATTTCATTGTTGCTAGACTTTACTCAACCTGGGTGACGGGAGACAAGGTTGCTAATTCGTTAATTAATTGTTTAAGGTTAAAAGTGAACATGCTTGCATTAATTTTTTATTTTTGATTTATAAGACAAAAATCGACTTATCTATATGTTCTTTGTTTTTACTATGGCATAATACATAAATATGTCATTTAATTTAGCATCAACTCATTTTTATGCTCTTCCACTTTGATTGTGCATAAGTAGACACTTAAACCTATATAAAGTTGAACACAAAGACACACGTATGACACGTAACGTAGGACTCACTACTTAAAGGGCACATATTAAACCTTTTATTATTTTAGCTTAAATTCAACTGCTTATAAGCATTTTTTAAAATTTACTCAAATACTTAAAAGTTATTTTAACTTAAAATTACTCAATTCAATCCAAACAAGCTCTTAAGCTCTAGCACATCTCTATACATATACATAACGATTGCCCCTCTTCCTTTTGAGTTTAATTTTTAACTTGTCCGGTATATTTTATTTTTCTTACTATATTATTGTAACTTGTTTATTTTCTTTGGCTAATTATATCTTTTAATTGTGTTGCTACTGCAGACACATAAACATAGAGAATATAGACAAAAGATCACATCAAATTATCAGGTACGTACGTAACAAATAGTCAAATATTGTGAATTTTCAAGTTGAATTGTGACAACAAAAAAATATATAATCTCAATCTTGATTGTCTTTCAGCCTCTACACAAGGTATTATATACCATGCACCCAACAGATTTCTTTGTGCCTTCATTTCTTAAGGCGATCTCTGAGAGCACCGAAGAAAGCTTCAGAAATATAATGTCTGAACCCTCTCCGGGTGTTCTAACATTTGAAATGCTTCAACCACGTTTTTGTGAAATGATGTTGGAGGAGGTACGTAATATATATATATATACATATTTGTTAGGTATAACATTTTTTTTTCTCTGTTTTCTTATCAAATTGTTAATTAATTAGGTAGAAAACTTTGAAAAATGGATTCGTGAAACAAAATTCAGAATCATGCGTCCCAACTCAATGAACAAATATGGAGCAGTTCTTGATGACTTTGGCCTTCAAACCATGCTTCAAAATTTTATGGAGGATTTTATACGTCCTATTTCAAAAGGTAATTACAACTAATTAATTATATGAACTAAAAATTAATTAAGGAAATGTATCTTAATTATTCTTTGATATAATCGTGCAGTTCTATTTACTGAAGTTGGTGGATCAACACTCGATAGCCATCATGGTTTTGTCGTTGAATATGGGACAGATAGAGATGTTGACTTAGGTATGTATGTTAGACACCGATTTTAAGAGTCAAACAATTTTTTTTTTTTCTTTTGATATCTTAATAACTTTAGTTATCAGGTTTTCATGTTGATGATGCCGAAGTTACTTTGAATGTGTGTTTGGGAAAACAATTTGATGGTGGAGAATTGTTCTTTCGAGGTGTGCGATGCGAGAAACATGTAAACACTAAAACACAACCAGAGGTAATTGTTACGTATAAATGGTTCAATTATTTTTTCATAGTTGATTAATACTATTTTAGAATCTCTATAATTTAGTGAAACATCTTACTTAATAATTAATCAAAGGAATTATTCTTTCGATAGGAGATCTTTGATTATTCTCATGTTGCGGGGCATGCAATTCTACATTGTGGTCGCCATAGACATGGTGCTAGAGCGACAACATCAGGAAGGAGGACCAACTTGATACTATGGTGCAGAAGGTATTTATGTCACAAGCTTTAAAAATACTCTCTTTCATACTTGATTTCGTATCTGATCAAATAACATAACATTAATAAAAAGAAGAGGAGGTAGTATAATACATTTCATCACAATATTAGAGAGCTATGTGCGCAATTGCAAGAAATAGAAGAGAATAATGTCATGATTATGCATTTATGAATACCTAATTACTATTTTCATATTTATAATTACTTTAATTTTTGCAGCTCCATGTTTAGAGAGATGAGGAAGTACCAAACCGATTTTTCTAGCTGGTGTGCAGAGTGCAAGCGTGAGAAGGAAGAAAGGATCCGGAAAAATGTTTTATTTCTCAAATCGGTAGGTTCTCTCTATTAATAAAATAAAACCAAAATATTAGAATTAAGGAGACTCTAATATAAAAATATACTTTTGATATTTTGGATCAACTTAAGAAAAGGTATCACATAATTTAAATCAAGCTACTTTTATCTAGTATTTAATTCAACCGATCAATATATATTCTAATTTTTTTTTCTTATATTTTCAGGAGATGCGCTTAAGAATTTTATAGCTATTCAGAAGAGTAGGGGAAGTAGTGAGGGGTCGATTGGTTATAAGACCCTGCAAAATTTAGTTGTGCAATTGAAAATTTTGAGACAAATATAAGAGTATTTTTATTTTATTTTAATTTTCACTTGTCGTATAGAATTATCTATCATCGATGGATATTTTGTAATGCTTACTAGAATGAACCTTTTATTTAAAAGGAAAAGAAACAAAATAAGAATGAACATGTCCATGTGTTTATTTAGTTCGAAAATGCTAGTACATAATTTGAACTATACGTCAAAGCATAAAAAAGGACAAAATTGACGAGTGGTTGTTGAAATTTCATATGGTAACATATTATGGCTCAATCCGTACCCAATTATTACTAAATTGTCATGTGTAACATATGATGACCTATATTTGTATTTGCCAATTTCGATCACAAATTATATCGTTGGATCAAACCTAAAAAATAAAATAGATCAGATACATTATATTTTCTTATTTATTTTTTTTCGATATTCATTAATTACATTATAGCTTGATTAAATTTTAATTTACACCCAAAAAATCCGATAGCAACAGGTAAGACAATGCATGACAATGTGACTTGGTACTCAAAACTCGAACCCTTTTGTTATAATCACTCTTGTTTGGTCATAGATTTTAAACTTGAAAATTTGAGTTATTGAAGTTGTGTTTAGATCTGTATTCGAAAAATTGAAATTACTTGAGTGAAGTCCCAAAAACCCAATCAATCTTTAGAACTTGAAGTTTTTCTTCTTTGACACCAAGTTTTCAAAATCTGACCTAAAATTTATAACCAAACATCAGATTTGTGACATATAACATGTTGAAACCTCGACTAAATTTAAATCGAATATTGCAGAGCTCATTCTGACTTTTGAGGGTGCCTCTCCCAAAATTTTGTAAGATTTTAGAGGCTAAGAAACCAGAAACTTAGAGCCTTTCTATACCCAATAAAACAAGCCCATGTTTCTTTCATTCCTTGGTTAGTGCCTATATTTATTCCAACCAAACCCCTCCTTCACATTTTTCTCTCACATCTCCAATTTCTTTGGCACCCTTTTAACCATGAATTGGTTATTGCCTTCTTTAGTTCTTGTTTTGCTGATTTTTCAACAACCCTTTTGCACTTGTTCATCAATTTCTGATCTTTTTGAAACTTGGTGTCAGCAAAATGGAAAAAAATATTCTTCAGAACAAGAAAGGGTGTATAGATTCAAAGTGTTTGAAGAAAACTATGCTTATATTACAGAGCATAATAGCAAAGGGAATTCCAGTTATACCCTTGGTCTCAATGCCTATTCTGATCTTACTCACCATGAATTTAGGAATTCTTTCTTGGGTCTTTCCTCTTCTGCTAATGATTTCATTAGGTTGAAAGGTAGAGGGTCAGGTTCTTCTGAAACTGGAGTTTTGAGTGATGTTGATGCTCCTTCTTCTTTGGATTGGAGAGAGAAAGGAGCTGTTACTAATGTCAAAAATCAAGGAAGTTGCGGTATGTTGAGTTTATTGCTGTATTTAAGTGGCAAAATCAGTTTTTTTTTAATCAAAGTTTGGATTTTGATGACCTTACTCATCAGAAAATGGAGCTTGTGGTGTTAGTGGTGCTTCTTTTTTGTTGTCTTGGAGTTGAAATTCTGATAAATGTGCTGAAACTTTCAGCTGCCTTTTTCCCATTAAGTGAGCTTAGGGTCTATCAGAAATAACCTCTCTAGCGGTAAGGTGTGTGCGTACACTCTACCCTCCAACCCCACTTTGTGAGATTTCACATAGTATGTTGTTGTTGTTTGACAGGGTGAAGGTCCAGGCTAATTTACTTAATTGTAACCTAGCCTCCTCGCTTACTTTAGGTCCAGTATTTGACAAGAAAACTTTCAGTTGATGTATAGGGATAAGTGTGGGATTTAGAGAATTTTTAGTTTTAGGAGCTCTTTAGTTGTCCTAAAAGACAATTTTTTAAGTATTAGAATGAAAAATGGAATGGAATCAATATTGAGAATTCATACACCAACCAAAATTAGTTTGATAGTAGTAGTTGTTGGTTATTGTTTCCTTGAGCGGATCATACACACCATCCTCCCCTGACAGTACTATGGAGTTACACTCGATATGTTGTTGTTGTAGTAGTAGTTGTTGTTGTTGCTATTGAAACCTAGCCTCATGAGCTCATCTTATCATAAGTTGATTAGGAATGATTGTTCTGTTTGTTTCTCGTTATCAAAGAAAAAAAAGGCACTGTACGATTCTTAGTTTCAATTTTCGTCTCTATGTATGTGGAAACCATTTCTTAAGATTGACTAGAAGATAAAGACTAATTGGACATGCTGATACGGTATCACGCTCTTTATTGACTGATGGACAGACGAACAATAGTATTACAAAGATCATGAACATAGCAGAGGAGTAAATTATGGTTAAATTATCATTTCTCTTAGCAATTGGAACATGAACTCCACCAGACTATTCTAAAGATCTCTACTTTCATTTTTTATTCTACATCCATTCATTGCATTACAATCAAAGCTGGACTACCAGCTTCAGTCTTAACTCTTAACATAGAAATATATATATAAATATAAGGTGATTCATTTTTGGGTCCTGTTTTGGACCATTGAATTATAACTCATTGTTTTTCTCTTCTTTTTTTGTTTTTGCAACTGTGTATGCAATTCTGTCTTCTGATTCTTTACTTGTTTCAGCAATCAAAGAAATGTGTCATTAATTTTTCAACTATCAATTTTGAGACACATACTAGTATGATGTGTTATAGCAAGTAATTTGACAGTCAGAGATGTAAAACTACACTTTCTTCCCCATGCAGATTTTGCTTTGGAAACTTTACAACTGCACACAACTCTTACTAAGTTTATTCTTTAAAATTTTCTCTGCCTATGTGGTTCTCAAGTACTTTTTTCTGTCAATATCTCTGGTAATTCCGCCTGAACATAGGAAAGAAGAGAAGTTCTAGCCTTTTCTTATAAATTTATTTGAGAATCGAGACAATAAGAGTTGTCTACAACATTGTCATTGCCATTACATTTACATAATCTCAGCTGCTGTAACTGAAAACAGTTACTTTTGTTTCATTTTCCAGGTGCTTGCTGGTCATTCTCGGCCACTGGTGCAATGGAAGGTATCAATAAGATTACCACTGGATCTCTCGTTAGCCTCTCTGAGCAGGAGTTAATTGATTGCGACAGAAGTTACAATGAAGGTTGTGGAGGTGGATTGATGGACTATGCTTTTGAATTTGTCATAAAGAATGGTGGTATTGACACTGAAAAGGATTATCCTTTTAGAGAAAGGGAAGGAACATGCAACAAAAACAAGGTACCTGATTATTCTCTCGTATAATTTTATGATTTGATCTACTAAAAGAGTTTACAAATGATTGTAATTACATTTGAAGCAATTGAAGAGAAAATGTGAGTATGACTCAGTCGTGGAAGTTGGCACCTCTCACTCCCTTATGGCAGAAAACCTTGGCCTCGTCCATTTTGATTTGGCTTATGAAATGCCCCAATCATCTTCTCGCTCCTATTCTTGTAATAAATGTGCCTGTTGGCCTATATATTGACTGATTCTGGATTCCTTATTTATTTTATAGGGAACTTAGGAAAATTTTATTCCAGGTAAAACAATTATGAACAATTACGACTGTTTTGCTTAACTTGTCAAATTTGCAGCTACAAAGGCATGTTGTAACCATTGATGGATATACTGATATCCCTAAAAATGATGAGGACAAGCTTCTAAAGGCAGTGGCAACTCAACCTGTGAGTGTTGGGATATGCGGCAGTGCGAGAGCATTTCAATCATATTCAAAGGTCTCTTCCACCTCCGAATTAGCAATCTCCTAATCATCTTAGGTCAGTTTGTGGGAGAGAAATGTAAAGTTGTTGCCTTTGTGTTGCAGGGGATATTCACTGGCCCGTGTTCTACAGCACTAGATCATGCGGTACTGATTGTGGGCTATGGTTCCGAAAATGGAGTTGACTACTGGATTATAAAGAACTCATGGGGAACAAGCTGGGGAATAAATGGTTATATCCACATGCAGCGTAATAGTGGGAATCAAGAAGGGATCTGTGGGATCAATAAGTTAGCTTCATATCCAACCAAGACTAGCCCAAATCCACCAACTCCTCCAGCTCCTGGTCCATCCAAATGCAGTATGTTCACCTCATGTGGTCAAGGCGAAACCTGTTGCTGTGGTGTGAAACTTCTTGGAATATGCCTTTCTTGGAAATGTTGTGGGTTGGATTCAGCAGTGTGTTGTAAAGATGGACGCCACTGTTGCCCACAGGATTATCCAATTTGTGACACAAGTCGGAACCTATGCCTCAAGGTACATCTCAACCTCTGCACTTCCTTTCTGTATTTGATGCATATCTTATCCTATTAGGGCCCATACAACACGAAAAATCAATTTAGAGTACAAAGGTTCCCGTTGAACTGATCATAATGCAATGTAACAGTCCAAATATCCAACCAACGGGCAATTACATAATGCTTTATGAGGATTTGGTCTTCTGCTGCAAGTTCTTGTGTATGCAAGCTTCAACAGTTGCTTTCAATTTGTTATCGAGTGTTGTGTATTTCTGAGTTATCTTTCCTTTTTTAAGCGTTTATCTCCAGTCCAAAATTGGTTATGAAAAGGTTCCCTCATTGCCATTGTCATACCAATCTCTCTTGATGTGCTACTTTTATACATTTCCTTTCACCTTTTGTTACTGTGTTTTCACAGTTTATATGTTTCTAATGCAGCGAATGAACAACGCTACTATAGTGCAACAGCCTCAGAAGGAAGCATTTACTGGGAAATTCGGAGGTCTTATTTACCCTTTTTAGGCGTAGGAGCCTGGCGCAACATCATTATCATATTCACGGTGTTACGAATTTACTTTGTGGGGTACATAGTTACCCCTTAGTAATTCCACATATATTATTGTTGCTAGATATCATTTTGTATATGTAGAACTGGTATAGTCGCTGTTGGTCAGACGATGATCATCTTGTACCACATTATTAGCTTGTATTTTAGTAGTATTTCAGACTTTACAGTTTTTAGATGACGACTTTGTTATCATCTATCTACCTCCCAAGGTAGGGGTAAAGTTACGTACACTCTACCTCCCCAGATCCACTTGTGGGATTACATTGGGTATGTTGTTGTTGACCTTCATGCTACTATATTATTCTGCCAATAAATCAGTAGCCTACTATGGGAAACTGCTGTCTGTTGATTTGCTATTCCTTTTATGTAAGAAGAAAGGCAATCCCTTATGAAGATAAAAAGTGCAGAGTTGAAACTATAAATATGTGCACTTGACCCTTTCAATAATGGTGATTTTGGAGGGATTTTATTTACTTTCTTGGTTAGTGGATTTGGGTTTTGCCAGCTCCTTTTTTCTGAGTGCATTGTTGTTGTTGCAACTTGCAATTTTGTTGGATGAAATTATGTCTTCGTTGGTCTATTCTTTTGCACTGCTTCGACAGTTCATTTTCTCCAAATATATATTGTCTTTGTCTAGGTTGTATGGAAAATGCAATTGCTATTGTAGCAGAGACCAACAAAAGTAGAATGTTTTCGCTCAAGAGTACAAATCATTAGCTAACATAATGGTTTAGCAGTAACAAAGGGCCAGAAGGACCTGCATCTAAACAGAGCAGTGTAGCTGCATGCAATGGGTGCAAACTGCATTATAGGGAAGAGTTAACCCACAAATCAACTTGCAATGAGCCTGTAAGTCTAACTGGTCCTGGTTAAGTGACTCTCGCGTGTGCTTACTATTACCCAAGGAGATCCTTCAAACTAACAAGTTTTGGTGTTAGAAGAGGACTACCTTCACGAAAGCCTTGCAGTTGCAACAGAAGCTAGCAAAAATGATTCCTAGTTGAGTTTTAGGTTTTACAAGTCAATTACTATGTGGAGAATTACATACAACAGGAAATAGCAAAAAATGCTCCAAAAGTAGTTTTTCTGCCAACATCAAAGTTGGCATCCTTACCTGAAGTTTTTCCGATTATCAAAGAATGAACTGCATGGCAATTGAGTAGATGACGAGGATAAGCTTTTGTCCTCCTTACAGAAATGATTCTGAGAGAGTAAGATCAACAAATGCTTTAGGGAGAGAAAGTTGAGGGTGTGTGGAAAAATAATTATCATGTTTGAGGATTGAGGAAGCATTTGTCCCAGAAGCCTCGACATACTTACATTCTCAAGTCAGGATGAAGGTCAAAGAGGTACTTATTTAGCTGTAATTCGGAGCCATATATATATTAATGCCGGATGTTGCTTCTGAGTTCCACCATGATACGTTCAACACGTAAACACTGTTTATCTCTTGGTGAAATCTTTCTGATCCAACAGTCCTGCTTCACATAATGAACTGTCATTTAAAGCAAATGTGTTTTCGCTATTAAGTCCCCCAAGAGTTGAGAGTGTTTTACTCCCAACATCAGCAACCAATAAAGCAGAAAGATGAAGCACATTACAACTAGTAATTATCGTAAAAGAAAAACAGACGAATGCAATGTCCCCAGCTTAGGTGGAAGAATTCATACTGGCAATGAATAGTGTGTTGGCCATCTGCTATTGAGGTCTAAGAAATGGTACAACTAAAACTTACTGATCACGTTCGCTGTATTGAAGAGCATTGTTGTGATCCAGAAGAACTCTGTTAGACTAAAGTGCCTGTTACGAAAAACTACTCCTGCAGCAGAGTAGCCGTCGTAGTTTGACAGAAATGCTGCAGTGTGTCTTTCCAATGGTAGGCATTGTGATAAGACTGCTGCTAGCATAGTAAAATACTCCTAAGCATTTTGATTCATAACTCTCTTTGAAGAAGAGAGAGCATGATGCAAGATTGCAGCATCTATGTGTGTGTAAGATAACACATTAACAAGCAAGAGAAGATGTTAAAGTCCCACACACAAAGAATGCTAGTTTAGCTAACAATCTACGAACAGCTGAAACTGATGAATCCGAGATCACCTTTCTGGCTAATACCTGAAATCAATGATGGATTGCACTAGAATAGGTCATTCACAAGCCTAAAAAGATCATTACTTTTGCAAGTATCCACATTCAAACTAATTCAGGTCTCAAGGAAAAGAAACCACACTATCAACACAAGTTAATCCATCCAATTGCACCATCAACTACTTGCATAAGTATAATGCCACTTCCCATCCTAAAAAGATCACTGCTTTTCAATGTATCCGCATACAAACTAATTTGTGTCTCAAGGAAAAACGAATTAGTTAAAACCATTCAATAGCAGCAAAAGATAAATCAATCCAACACTATAAAACCATGTGGAACTAGTATTAGGCATCAAAATTTACATATTCATAAGACAATTCATCACTGTGTATACATTACGAAACCATAGTAACCTAACAAGTCAACACCCCCTTTAGGTAATTCAGCTCCAAAAATTCTTACACATTTTTTTATCAGGAAGACGGAAACACATCCTTCACAGCAGAAGCAGCACTTAGATAGTTCAAAGTATTCCTCAAAGTCTCCTTCTCCCTCTTCAATCTCATCGCCGTATCTTCTAATTCAAGCAATGCTTGTTGTTCCCTTGGTGCCCCTTCAAACGTACTTCCAACGAAGAAAGAAAATGGCGTCGGAAACAAATTCCTCCGCAAATCCGTTGCCTCCTTCTCCGGTTTCCCATTCAATCTGTTCGATAAACGAATCACATCTTTCATATAACTCTCCACCTCATTCGCCAAACCGTCCACATCATCCTCTCCATTCGCCGACGGCCGGTCCTCCAGCCACGTCACCTCTGCAACCAAATACGGTTTAGACCGAACCAATTTATTGACCCGAAACCGCTCCTGCCCTTTACAGATTAAGAAAAACCGGTCATCCACCAGCCGCTCATGCTTAACGACTTCTCCAACGCATCCAACGTCGGCGGTGCCAGTGGCGCTGTCGGAGTAAATAACCCCAAAACGAAGGTCAGTTTGGAGAAGGGTATGCATCATTATCCGGTAACGAAACTCGAAGATTTGGAGCGGGAGAATAGCTCCGGGGAAGAGAACGAGAGGAAGAGGGAAAAGGGGTAGCTCAACGACGTCGTCTGATTTAGGTGAACCAGTGTGGTGCTTCTCCGGGAAGGAGGAGGAAGCAGAGCATCTGATACCATTCGAGTTACGCCGGCGCCGGTGCTGGAGTAATAATTTAGAAGAAAACTGGCATTGGGGGTTATTAAATTGAGGGATTAAGAAGAAATTACTAGGGTTTAAGTGGGGTTTGTAAGTGAATGATGAAGAAGGAGAAGGTAAGATTTGAGGTAAAGCCATGAAAACCAGAGGAATAAAAATGGAATCTTGAAAAATTAAAAAGTAGACATCGATGAAGAAAACACAAAAAAGATCAAGAATGGTTCTTGATTAAGCGAAGAAGTAGTAGGAGAATGAATCACTTTCCATCCAAATCCACACAAATTGTAAACCTAAAAATATCCATGGGGGTTTGATGTATCTGAGTGTGGTGAGAAGATTTACACGTGGAAATATGTTATCTAGAACTTACGTGGCAAATTTGTTGAATGGTTATACTATTTGTCACATCAATTATTTGGATTTTCATTTTCCATCCTACAAAAACAATCTGATCAGATCATCTATAGTATAGGAAAATTTCCATATTAACATGGGGTATAGTGGAGTAGTAAATATTTTTTTTTTATTCATAAACATAGTTTTGATTTTGGGTTCGATTTTTTGAGTATAAAGTGCATGAGTATCAAATACCGACTTAGAAAAGGAAGGAGAAAAAAGAAGAAAAAATCCATTTTTAAATTATTTTTTAAAAAAATAGTAAAGCAAGTGCAGTAGTAGTAGAGTAATAAATTTGGAGAAGTTGTGATGGAGATGGTTGGTTATGAATAAGGAAATGGATATACTTGAGGGAATAAAACTAGGAAATGATGGTTGGGTTTGTGAAAACTAGGGAATAACTGAACTTTAACAAATAATCATGGCAAAATACATAAACATGACTCTTAATTTGGCTTAAGCAGATAACTATGCCCTTCAATTTTGAGTGTGCACAAATAAACACTTAAACTTGTATAAAATTAAACAAATAAATACACGTAGGACACAAAATTGCAATGTCGGGTGCCATGTAGGATGAATGTGTCAACTGACGCCAAATTTAGGGTCATGTTTATATATAAGAAATGACTAAACTTTAACCACATAGAGTGATCGAGCTTTTATCATATATGCTTGAAGTTTAGGAGGAATGACTAAAAATTCTAACAAACTTCAGATATTTTGTATAACTTCAATTTTTATCAAATCTAAATTCAAACACGATATATCTAAAGTTATTTTGAAGGGAATGAATTACAAATATTTATGCAGCACACATAATATAAATGATGGTCCCATTAACACTTCGTCCCCAACTCAGGGCACCACGATTAACACATTTTTTTGGGGGCTTGTGCCACATTAAAGGTACCCTTTGTTTAACTACGATGGGCCATGTCAGACCATTACGTGATGGGCCAGACGAGCCCAACTGCCCTCTCCATTTATGCTATTGATGATTGTTTGAGTTCAAATAAGAACATGTCAGTCTCTTTTTTTTTAAAAAAATAAAATAAAATTACCTAAGTAAATAATTTATTTTATAATATTCTCTATTATGTGAAAAAATTACAAAAATTTTGACTTTATGTAATATTAAGTTGGATACATCACTTTACGCGATATATTGAAACGCTACTTTACTCAATGCATCAGTCGGATACATCACTTTACGCGATGCATCAGGACGTACACGATGTATCGGGAGGTTGAGTGATGTATCCGAAACTGAGACGCGGTGTATCAAGATGTTTTGGGATATATTCGGATTCCACCAAATTTAAGAAATTTTTGTAATTTCGAAAAGAGTAGGAATACGATGTAATTAGCTCATAACACTATGAAATTTGTGTAAAATCTTCTTTTTTAAGACCCCTACACACATACTACATGATGTTTTATGTGGCGAATTGACAATTCGCGTCATACATGTATTATATCACGTATAATTTGTGTGTCAACTTATTCAATTTTATACAAATAGTGGCTACTTATACATATTAAACATTGAAGTATTTAAATACTAGCTAAAATCAAGTTAAAAAATATGTTTATGTATAAAATCAAAATTAAAAGAACCTATCGAAAAGTAATAATTATTTAAATGAGCTCATATTTTACCATATCAAAACTAGAAAGAGATGTCGTGTTTACAAGTCCTACTATAAAAACTTCTCCTAATCCGTTGATTTCTTAAGATGGTCTATTTTAAATTTGGTCAATTTTTGATAAATGAAATAATGATTCCCAACTAACAATAAAATAATCTTTTAATCGAACAATACATAGAATAAATCGCATAAACAATACTTTGCTAAGATTTTATTAAAGACAAATAGACATTTAATTTTAATGTCACCTTAGAAGTTATCAAAGTCGTCGTTGTTTCGTCGTTTCTTATTCGTTGGTATTTTTATATGTAACTAGTCACTAATGAGGTCGAACCAAAGTTACGGTGAAATGATAAGTATTTTTTTAAAATTAAATTTTTTGAATTCTCAAACAAAAATAAAATCACCTTTTGTTGAAAATAAAAATATTTTTGTTGAAAATCAAGTTTTTTTCAGCTACTTACATGATATTTGTATTGAAATTTTGATAAAAAGTGATTTTGTATTATAAAAAACTTCGAACCTAAAACATCTTATTAAGGATGAATAAATATTTATCGTTCCGAGTCGGTTACAAGAGTCCAAGTTGTTCTTTGTCAAGTGATAGATATAACTTTTGCGCACGTGTTTGCACGTCGCGTGGCATTCAATTTCCCTACCACTTAAACCGACTGAATAAAATGTTCACACTATGTGACGCGTTTCCCTAATTCGTAATTAAGTTTGAAATCCGTTACATTTTGGTAATTTACTATCTTCCCTTTCCTGTATAAAGTCTCTGCCAAAGGGAAGATGCTGTGCATTGTGCGTTAGTGTTACGAAGAGCTAAGGATTTGTTTGGTGTTATCTATTTTGAATTTCTGATTTCTAAAATCTGTGAGAATGGCTACTTCATCTGAGGAAGGACAAGTGATCGGCTGCCACAAGGTTGAGGAGTGGGAGGCGCAGCTCCAGAAGGGCGTGGAGACCAACAAACTGGTATAACTTTGATTTTTTCTCTTTGACAATGGCGATTTTGCTTTGTTACTTTGACTTTGTGTTATGGGTTTTGTTCAAAATTTGATTTTGTGAAATGGGTTTTTGTTGTTTCGATTTTTTGTATGAGATTTTGTTGATTTTTTTTTCAGTTGCGGCTCGTCGGTGGGTTTGTTTGGGTTTTTGTATGCTTACCTAAAGTTTATTGTTTGATTTTCAGTTAATTGTAATATGTTAACGTATGATTTGCTATTAATATAATCGTATTCTCACTCAATTGATTGGCTTAATTGTGATTTGGAACAAATTTGTAGTTAAAGTTGCTGTCTTTGCTGATTAGGCTTTGTGGGGTGGGGGTGGGGTGCTGGGTCGCTATCTGGACCCCTTGTGGAAAAATATATGCAATTCGTGTAATTTCAACCAAATATATGTATGGGTTCAAAAGGTTGTTTGAGCAGGATGTAAAGAAACCGATAGATGTGATGATGTATTTTTTTGAAGAAATGGCCCAGTATAAAGTTGATATGATGCTTAACTTGTTGCTTTTGTGATGGTTAATTGTTTAGTTTCTTAAGGATTAACTAATCTAGGATTTGGGTGGGGCTTTTTTGTTATGCCATGGATTCGAACTTAGTATAGTTCTTTTTAGTAAAACCTTAACTTATATAAGTTGAGGTGAAGTCACCACACCGAGGGTATGGCGGGGGCGGAGCCAGGTTGGGGCTAAGGGGGTTCAATTTTTTATTTTTTATGTCTACATAGTAGATGTTGAACTCCTTTTGTCGTGGGGTGTGTTTATGATCTGGACAGTCGGTGGTTAAATGGTCAATGAAGGGGAGAAGTGAGAACCATAATGGATGCAAAAATATTAGGTGATGTCTAAGTGGGCTCGGGTGATTTCTTCCTGCCTAAGTCTTAGACGGTAGAGTTACCTTGTAACCGTGTTAGAATAGTCAAGCTGCACTTTGACTTGAATACCGCCATCATCAAAGAAAAAAATTGAGCCGGAGTCGTTATACATCTAGTGTAGTTGCTAGAGCAAATAGTAGTTGTATGGATGATGATGGTATGCTTAAATATGCTTCAGATTTCTAGTTGTTGGGCGTAAATCTTTCTTGTAAACCAGCATTGCTTCGAACTTAGCATAAGCATATATATATTATGAACTTTTTAACTATATGAACTTTTTCGAGTTGAGGTCACTTACATCTGCGCCTAGCTGTTAGTTAGATCAAGTAGAATTAGTACAGAGTAAGGCTACCTTTAAATATGCCTCAGAATTTTAGAAATTGTTGGGCATAAATCTTTTCTTTCAACTGGTGTAACTCATGCAAAATACAATTTGTTGATTCAGGTGGTGGTGGATTTTACTGCTTCCTGGTGCGGCCCTTGCCGTTTTATTGCCCCAATTCTTGCTGAAATTGCTAAGAAGACGCTCCATGTTATATTCCTCAAGGTTGATGTTGATGAACTGAAGGTACGTCTGCGATCAGATTTTGCATCAATTTATACTCGTTCTTTGACTAATGTAATCAGTGATTGTGATAGTAAATTGCGGTAACCTTTCTTGCAGAAAGTTGCAGAGGATTGGAAAGTGGAGGCAATGCCTACCTTCCTCTTCATTAAAGAGGGGAAAGAAGTGGATAGGGTGGTTGGTGCCCATAAAGACGGATTGCTTAAGACCATAGAGAAGCATGGTGCTGCTCCTGCTATTGTGACTGCTTGAGCCTTAATCAAGGAGATGATATTATAGTATTTAGTCTTGTCTTTTGTAATAACTCTGGATGGTTGTATGTTTTATTATCCACCATGTTTTTACTGCTTTCTTGAAAGATTTGTAATGTTGGTGCTTGGAATCTGACATTTGTGCATATGGTGTTTACTGGTTAAGGCTATATGCCCATTTCTATCAAAAGACTCTTTTCCCATTTCTACATTTGTGAACCTTTCAATTTGCTTGGATAGCTTAGACTTATTTATCATTGCATAGATCTTTTGGTTGTGTACATTATCAGCATCTAAGATCACCTTTGAGCAGGTGTGACTTGAAAAAAAGTAAGTACACTTTTTGAATTTGAATTTGAAGTTGCGTTTGAACATGAATTGCGCTGCGAAACGTGTATTTACTGAAGATTTGTGATTCTATTCCCTCTTGCTCATATTCATAAATGGATATGAAACATGATTTGAGATATTGTGTCTAGGGACTTGATCTTGTTTTCTTTATAAAGGTCATGGGTTACAGAATGTCAGAAAGAATGTGAGACACCAAACTGTGTACTTGGAACAGAAGACATCAAACATATGCATCCACCAAGTATAGTGGAAATTCATAATGGTTAATTCTAATAAAACAAAAAGAAACAAGAAATTCTACCAGATCTTGGATTTTCCAAGAAATGTGATGGAGCTCATGATCAAAGCCTACAGAACAAATAAACTAAACTCATGAAGTTGTCCTTTTCACTAGCAATATCCTTGATACATCACCACCTATTTCCTCGAATAAGACGAGCAAATTTTGTGTCGGTTTCAACCAAGATCTTGGGACATGGTACCTACAGAAACAGAACAGGCAGAGTACTTGTTAGCAAATGCTATTGTGTTGTTGATGATATGAAAGAAATCTAAGGTATGATTGATGAAAGAATCAGTAGAAATTCAAGAACTACCATTTTTGAGTTGGCTGACCACAACCAAGTTGACATTTTGTTTGTCTGTATGTTCCAGCATAGTGGAAATCATCACATTTGCCATTAGCAGATGCTGTCCAATATCGACCTATGCTTTGTCCATTGATCCATACTTGTCCTTTGCCCATGCTTCTCATGTCTAGTGCCACAGGGTCATTTCCTTCTGGTGCATCAAAATAAGCCTGCAGAGGCGGATCCAGCATTTAAACATAATAGCTTCAAGTTCCGGAATTCTTTGAGAATATGGTCTATATACATATCTATGATCTATACTTGAAATGATCAATGAGTTCAATTGATCCCACTCCCAAAATTCTAAGTACGCCTCTAGTCATAAATCTTAACGAGTCTTTGTTAGAACTTAAATCTTTTTCTCATTTACTTACCTTATACCATTTAAGAGGTTGTTGTCCTTGGGTAGCTACTGCACCACCAATCCATTCAATGGAAGATGCTCCGTGTTGAGAGATCAAGTTCATTGTTTCTCCTTTCAATCCAACCTGAAGGACCGCTTTAACTGTCAATGATCTTTTAAAAACAAACAGAAGAGTAAAAGATTTGGTAAAGATTCAGTACTCTGTATGTCCATTTCAGTGACGATAAATCTTTATGGCCTTGGTTGAGACCTTGAAGAACAACTGGCCCGAGTATTCCTGTATTCCATTCCTCGTAATGCAGTCCAATGTTCTTCAAGGCAATAAGTGTAATTATAATCAATAGAGAATGAAAAACTATTAGTGCAGCAACACAGAATAACAAAAGTTGCATCTGTTTTTGCCTTGAATGATAAGTACTGTAGGCAAAGAAGAGAAACTAACCGGCAGGCCAACAGCAATGCTCAGTAGCTCAATTCTATTTGTTCCAGCCTGCAGATCAACTGGTCCTGTGAAAGTGAACTTTGTGTCCTTCCGAGTACCATAAGAAGATCCTGAAAATTGCGAATTCCACAGAAGGAAATATAAAAAATGTTTCCTACTAGCTGTTCTACCAATTATGTGCATATAAGCATCATTACCTGAGAGTTTCCCATTTACAAAAACATGAACTGCGTGTCCACTTGAGTAGACGTTGAGGGTTGGTTTTTGTCCCCCTCGTAGAAATGATTCTGAGGGACTAATATCGACACTGCATTCCAAGTAAGAAATTGAATTCATTATCAATATTAGAAAAGTTTATATACTTATGTTTGGATGATTTTTTTCGACTTATTTATGAATCTCACCTTGTTATGTACCACAAATAATCACTGTTATCTCTGGTGATATTTATCTGCTCCAAAAGTCCTACAGCTTCAAATGTTGAGCTGTCCACTAAAGAAAATACATCTTCACTATAAGCCCCCCAAGAGTGGAGCTGAGAGACAGTTGGTGTCATACGCACTTGTGAAGTTCGAGCCCCAACCTTATCAAGAAAAAGATGTCTTAAATTACTAAGCTGAAAGACAAAGCACATAGCTACGGAAAGAGATTGAATGACAATGAATAGTGTCTGTTGACAGTACGCGACCAAGGTCCAAATTTGCAATTGCACAAATGCTTGTTGAAATCTTGCTTACCTTTGCAGTATTGAAGGCAACATGGCTGCAGTCTGGAAGAATACTGATGGACCAAGGAGGTAGATTAAAGTGTTTGTTGTTAAAAACTACTCTAGCAGCAGTGTTACTGTCGTAATTTGAGAGAAATGCTGCACAGTTTCCTTTGCCAGACGAGAATACGTGAGCCTAGAATAAATGACTTTTTTGATTCAGAAAGACAAACAAGTAAAGAAAATGTCATATTTTTTGAGGTTAAGAACCTTTGTAATTGACACTAACCTGCTGATAGTTTCCTAGTGAAACAACAGTGGGATCTGAAGATAATAAAGCGCTCTCACATAGTTTAATTACCCTGTGGAACTCCTTTAAATGGCTATATTTTGGTTCCCTGATCAAACCTGATTACATATGAGGTCAAGAAGTTAGCTGATAACTAAAAGTTCAATCTAGAGCTTGATCAGGTTACTTCAGCATATGTCATGAAATGAAATAGAACGTCTTTCATAGCGATAATGGTAGACAAGGACTATAACTTAGAGATTCAGTGTTCTAAATTCACGCGCAAAAGGACTTTCTAGCCGTCATGGACTAAGCTGATTAATCTCACCATATTCATCGATGGGAGCATCATAGTCATAACTTGTTGTTATAAAAGGTCCTCCAGCTGTACGGCCAAAGTTGGTTCCCCCGTGGAACTGTTAAAAGAAGAAATAATTAAGACAAGCAAGATCATTAATCCTATTCAAGTATGAACATGTTCAGTATGAATGTTGGAGTTTCTTTTTTCTGAGGAAGTTCATTACCATGTAATAATTAACAAATGAGCCACCTTTTTGTATGAAACGAGCAACTGCAAATGCCAAATCTTGAACTGGCCTCATAGGTATCGTGCCACCAAACTCCGCGAACCTTCCCTCAACAAACAAGAATTTGAGAATCACCTCATGAAAATGAGCATGTATGAAAATAAGCATATGTTTGCATTACCAGCCAGTCCAAGCTTCAGTCCACATAGTTGGTTTGTAAGGTTTGTTGGGAGAAAATTCATCACAGTAAAAACCATTGCATGTATTTATCTGATTAAGACACATGTTTAGGGCCCTCAGTCAGTAGTTTCAAGGACGTTATGCCTAAATCCGAGCTATGAATGTAAATATATATACTGAGAATAACAGGAGAAACTCACGATAGGGTCAGGGGCATCATCCTCTTTGCACATAACCCACGGGACACCAGTATTTAATCCAACAGCCATTTGTGCAGCCCATTGGACATATGCTTCACCAGCTGCTCCAAGCGCCTCCCTTTCTGGTTGATATTCATTTTCAATCTAACCAAACACAACTTCAAAACACTCGTTAGATAATTGCGCGGTATATCATGCATTTCAGAAAACAGAAATTCTATAAGTTTCATACCTGAGACAGTATAATGGGACCTCCTTGAGATTCAAACAAGTTTTCACTCTTCATCATCTCAACTATTTTATTGGTGAATTTTTGCATTGCTGCCTTTACCACAAAAACAATTGAAATGTCAATACTACAACTCATGATCAGAATCTATCAATTTATCAGAGAAGAAACAAACATGTACAAAAATTGGTGCTGTATTTGTACAATATAGTCGAATAAAGTTTAGTTACTTTAACACAACAAAAAGATCATTTTTTGACTTTGGACAAACCTTGAAAGGTTCATTATCTGTTCTGAAGCTGATACCAGGAACATATTTCAACCATACAGGAAATCCTCTGCATCAAATGAGAGGTTACAGACTCATTAGCTCATTCTTGAAATCAACCATATGATGTATAATATGTGTACGATCGTGCATATTCTATGTGTATCTATAATCTGTCCATCTATTCGTGTAAAGGTCCCTCAAAGTAAAGCTATTACCCAAAATTCCACTCAGCACAAACATAAGGTCCAATGCGCAAATGTGCATAAAGCCCAGCTTTCTGCACAGTCTTTATAAACCTTACAAGATCATATCTCCCATCAAAATTATACTGTCCACAAGAAAATATATTGTATATTAGCAATCAGTAAACATAAAGATCAAGTCTTTTGGGGCAAATTGTGCACTCACATTGCCAGGGGAAGGTTCATGAACATTCCAAAAAACATAAGTTTCAATAACATCCAAGTTTGCATCTTTGGCCTTGTTTATAAGATCTTCCCACATCTGCAACACTCCCATTTTATTTAATTCATCAGTACATTAACATTTAGTCGAGATGGTCACACGTTTTAACAGAAAGTGAGAGTACCTCAGGGGTGCTTCTAGGATAATGTATGGAACCAGATAGAAGAATTCTTCTTTGGCCATTAATGATAATGGCCTTCTTATCATAGGTAACAATGCAAAAGACCAGCTGAACTACCATTAGCAAATAAAAAGTATAAACTTTGAGGAACTGGGAAACTAAACTTGTCTCCATTTTTTTCTCAACACTTGTAATACAGAGAGTCAAGAATTGTAGTATGCAGAATGGCAATATATATGGTGCTGTTTGGATTCTTCTTGCTCATCAGCTTAGCTCACTAGTGGGCTACGAAGAGGGAAGAGTGTACACAGACCTAGCCTACCTCTTGGAGGTAGAAAGTATATTTAATTCCATAAGATCTTAGGATTAATAGTGTATAACAAAGCAATTTGAAAATGAAATCAAATAATACGATAATCGAAACACAAA